AAAAAAAAAGAAAAGAAAAGAAAATTTGGGACACTACCGAGATACATTATGTTACAGTACAAGTTTTCATATGTCCTGAGTTTTAAATGACCTTGGAAGGCTAAGGCCAAAATGTTGGCTTTCCTTGCAGTCTTCCATGTTCTCTAATTTTGGTCTGCAAATGTAGGTTGTTAACCATTCAGAAGACAAGCTTATTGCTATTACCATACAACCTAGGCTGTTAAGCTTAACCTCACTATCTGTCTGCATATCAAACATCTTAGGCATAACGTGGAACAGGTATTTTTCATCAAGTATTGATATGTTGAACTTTAAGTCCTTACAAAATATGATATAAAACATTTAAGGAGGTGCTCTCTGCAGGCGGCTGGCATGGCAGGGAGATTGGTACTAGATGACGTGGAGCTGCGGGAGGCCCAGCGAGATTACCTGGACTTCCTGGATGATGAGGAAGACCAGGGAATTTACCAGAGCAAAGTGCGAGACATGATCAGTGACAGCCAGTACCGGCTGATTTTCAGTGTGAACGACCTGCGCAGGAAGAATGAAAAGCGAGCCAACCGCCTCCTGAGCAACGCATTTGAGGAGCTGGTTGCCTTCCAGTGGGCCTTAAAGGATTTCGTGGCCTCCACTGATGCTACCTATGCCAAGCAGTATGAGGAGTTCTACATAGGATTGGAGGGCAGCTTTGGCTCCAAGCACGTGTCTCCCTGGACTCTTACCTCCTGCTTCCTCAGCTGTGTCGTGTGTGTGGAGGGCATTTTCACTAAATGCTCCTTGGTGCGTACCAAAGTTGTCCGCAGTGTCCACTACTGTCCTACTACCAAGAAGACCATAGAGCAACGTTATTCTGATCTCACTAGCCTGGTGGCCTTTCCCTCCAGCTCTGTGTACCCTACCAAGGATGAGGAGAACAACCCCCTCGAGACAGAATACAGCCTTTCTGCCTACAAGGACCACCAGACCATCACCATCCAGGAGATGCCAGAGAAGGCCCCCGCCGGCCAGCTGCCCCGCTCTGTGGATGTCATTCTGGGCGATGACTTGGTGGATAAAGTGAAGCCTGGTGACCGAGTCCAGGTGGTGGGGACCTACTGCTGCCTTCCTGAAAAGAAAGGCGGCTACACCTCAGGGACCTTCAGGACTGTCCTGATTGCCTGTAACGTGAAGCAAATGAGCAAGGACATGCAGCCTGCCTTCTCTGCAGAGGATATCGCCAAGATCAAGAAGTTCAGTAAAACTCGCCAAAGGACATCTTCGACCAGCTGGCCAGGTCACTGGCCCCTAGCATCCACGGGCATGACTACGTCAAGAAGGCCATCCTCTGTCTGCCGCTGGGCGGTGTGGAGCGCGACCTGGAGAATGGCAGCCACATCCGTGGGGACATCAATATTCTTCTGATAGGAGACCCGTCTGTCGCCAAGTCTCAACTTCTGCGCTACGTGCTGTGCACAGCACCCGGCGCCATTCCCACCACTGGCCAGGGCTCCTCGGGCGTGGGCCTCACAGCTGCTGTCACCACAGACCAGGAAACGGGAGAGCGGCGCCTCGAGGCAGGGGCCATGGTTCTGGCCGACAGGGGGGTGGTGTGCATCGATGAATTTGACAAGATGTCTGACATGGACCGCACAGCCATCCACGAGGTCATGGAGCAGGGGCGCGTGACCGTCGCCAAGGCTGGCATCCACGCGCGGCTGAATGCCCGCTGCAGTGTCCTGGCAGCGGCCAACCCTGTCTACGGCAGGTATGATCAGTACAAGACCCCCATGGAGAACATCGGGCTGCAGGACTCCCTGCTGTCCCGGTTCGACCTGCTCTTCATCGTGCTGGATCAGATGGACCCCGAGCAGGACCGGGAAATCTCAGACCACGTCCTGAGGATGCACCGCTACAGAGCGCCCGGGGAGCAGGACGGTGACGCTATGCCCTTGGGGAGCGCTGCTGATGTCCTGGCCACAGATGACCCCAACTTTAGCCAGGATGACCAGCAGGACACTCAGATTTACGAGAAGCATGACAACCTTCTGCATGGGCCCAAGAAGAAAAAGGAGAAGATGGTGAGCTCAGCATTCATGAAGAAGTACATCCATGTGGCCAGAATCCTCAAGCCTGTCCTGACCCAGGAGTCAGCCGCCTACATTACCGAGGAGTACTTCCGCCTGCGCAGCCAGGACAGGATGAGCTCGGACACGGCGCGGACGTCCCCTGTTACAGCACGTACCCTGGAAATTCTGATCCGGCTGTCCACGGCCCATGCCAAGGCTCGCATGAGCAAGACGGTGGACCTGCAGGACACGGAGGAAGCCGTGGAGCTGGTGCAGTACGCCTATTTCAAGAAGGTTCTGGAGAAGGAGAAGAAACGTAAGAAGCGAAGTGAGGATGAATCAGAGACAGGATGAAGAAGAGAAAAGCCAGGAGGAGCCTGAGCAGAAGAGGAAGAGGAGGAAGACTCGCCAGCCGGCTGCCAAAGATGGGGACACGTATGACCCCTATGACTTCAGTGACACCGAGGAGGAAATGCCCCAAGTTCATACCCCGAAGGCTGCAGACTCACAGGAGACCCAGGAATCCCAGAAGGTGGAGCTCAGCGAGTCCAGGTTGAAGGCCTTCAAGGTGGCCCTCCTGAGCATGTTCCGGGAGGCTCACGCACAGTCCGTGGGTCTCACTCACCTCACGGCATCCGTCAACCGGGACAAGGAGGAGCCCTTCTCTGCGGAGGAGATCCAGGCCACACTGGACAGGATGCAGGACGACAACCAGGTCATGCTGTCGGAGGGCATCGTCTTCCTCCTCTGAGTTCTCACCGCCGCCCTCCCGCCCTCCTGCCCTCCTCCGCCCATCTTTCCCCAGGCACCAGAGGTGGATCAGGACTTGGTGGCAGCTTTGGGGTGGGGGCAGTGCTGTCGGGAAGGACCAGGCCCTGCCGCGCCACTGCAGGAGGACCAGATCACAGCCAGGCCCTGTCCCACACAGCCAGCCAGTGTCACTCATGTGATGTGACTTGAGTCGGGCTTTGGTGTGGAGGGTTTGTGTTGATCTTTTCTGCGTTGGCTGTTTTTTTTCTCCTGAGCACTTTTTTCTGGAAAAGGCGCTGAGTTTTGTGCTGTAGAGAGTGGCACCAAGGCTGCGGGCCAGGAGCTGTCTTTGCAGACCAGTGGGTGTTTGACCCAAGAATATAGGGCACTGAATAAACTGCTTCACACAAACAAAAAAAAAAAACCACATTTAAAAATTAGAATATATTTTTTAAAAGAAGCATAAAAAATTATATACCTCTTATATTTACAAATAAGTCCAAAAATCTAACCATATACAACCTTGAAGCAGGACAGTCCCACAATATTCCTTTTTTATCTTTTGCCTTCATTCAACACCCCCTTCTTTTTGAACAAACAACTACCAGAGAGACATCATAGCAGCAAGTGGCATGGCATGACAAGCAGCCCATATTCAGAAGAACAGAATGACAGGCACTCCAAGCATGAAACTACTATTACAGTTTACCATCTTCAGTGCAGTGGCTTAGTTCACAGGTATCAGTATATATAGTTAGTCAGGGTGAGAATCTTTCTAATTAACTGCTAGATTCAAAAATCTTGGGAGATTCTGAGGATCATTGCCTTGCCCATCTTCTACATATAACTATATGGCTTGACATATTCATGTTTCCTACCTCTCCTCCTTTCCCTCTTTTGATTAGTTAGTCCTCGAGATCCTGCTTTCCTTTTACTTGTATTATGTCTTTCTATTTGAATTTCTTCTTTTGAGTTCTTATACTAGGAAAACTATATGATATTACACATGTGTGTCTGGTTTATTTCACTTATGAGTATATGTTCAAGTGGCATCCACTTCAATATAAAGGCTTGCAGTTTATCATTCTTAATAGC